GTTCTTCAATTATGGGAATTGGAAAGTGGTCCTTCATGGTAAGGTTATTGAGCTTCTTATAATCAACACATAGCCTCAAAGAATTATCCTTCTTCTTAACTATAACCACTTGGTGAGGAGAAGAAACTAACACTAGTTCTAACTATTCCCCCATCCATCATTTCTTACACCTATCTCTCTAGTTCATTCTTTTGAACGAGCATGATATCTATAGGGTTTTATGTTCACGGGTTTAGTTCTTTCCTTCAACATGATCTTATGATTATACAATCTATGAGGAGGTAACCTTTGAGGCTTCTTAAACACCTCCGTAAATACTTCCAAGTAATGTCCTTAGTACTTCTAGCACTCGATCGGTAGCTTCGCCACAAACATCTCCTTAGCCCCCTCCTCATACAACATTTGATTCACTTGTAACCAATTCGATTCGTTGTTACTTACAAATACCCTTGTCAAACTCTAATTCTTCCTTACTTTTAATCGGCTTTAACTTTTCTCTCCTTTAAGGTAAATATTTCTCCCTCAACCATAAACCTCATCCATATGTCTCTAAAGTTCCATGTGATATCTCCCAATTCATACAACCAAGCTATTCCTAAAATCACTTCATACACCTATAAGGACATCATAAATACATTAGTTTCAAATTTTATTCCATGCATCCTCCATCGAAACTTCTTACACATGTATTCATAGATCACATCTCCCCCATCGACCATCTTCACTATAATAGGATGAATCTTTACTAACTCACAGTTATTCTTTTTAGCAAACCCTAAGTCCATAAAATTATGTGGACTATCGGTGGCAATGAGCATAATGACTCTTGTTCCCTCCAATTTACCCACTACCTTCATTGTTTGGTAGTGTTCATCCCCCAACACAGAGCATAGGTTGAGATCCGATACAACTCTAAATTTGACTCGTTAGTGCTAACATTCCGCTCCTTAATATTCCCTTCAACACCAAATTCTCTATAAACTTTCATTTCCTCATCGACTTCAATCTCTAACATGAAAAATTATGTACCTTTACATCTATGCCCGAGTGAGTATTTCTCATCACAATAATAACATAACTCCTTTAACCTTCTCTCATCTAGTTCACGAGTAGTAGGTAGCTTCCTTGTTTTGAACATTGAGTTTCCACTTTGGAATTATAGTGGTAGAGACAACGGACCTTTTGATTCTTCATTTATGGTTTTTAGTAAGGGAATTGATTTTATGGTGGAATATTGTTGTCATTTCTAGTAGTTTGATTGTAGTTAAATTTGTGATTTTTTATAAGTATTTTGGTTGGTTCTCGGGCTGAATGAAGGAGTGAATTTAGGAGGGAATCTATTGTTTGGTAATGGTTATTTGGATTGGTTTCTTGCAACCTAGCTAAGGAAACAGACTTCCTTCAAGTTGGTTGGTCTCATAACCCTTACCGAGACTTGTAATCCGGGCCTCAACCCTCCTATAAAGCAACTAATGATGTAGTTCTTGGGTTGTATTAGCTTGTTAACCACCGAAATGAACCTTTTCAAATAGGTTTGCGTATTAGTCTTCTCGCCTTAACCCCATCGGTTTAGCCATCCGATCACTCGGACATCATATTTCCAAACCTTATACTCATAACCTCAACATAGTCACTTCATTTAATCCAACTATGTATTCCATGCATGCGAACATACACCCGGTGCCATTCCAATGCCTCATCCTCCAAGTGAATAGCTCCTATAGTCACCTTAGCTTCCTTAAGTGTTCTATCATACACGAAGAATTTTTTACACCCTAAACACCCACCCTTCAAAGTCTTCCCCTATAAACTTAGGGAATTTTGCTCTCGATACTCTATTATAGGACCGATATCCATACTCGCTCACTAGTGAATCTATCATGATTATTTCCACCATTATTACTAGTAGTAGGAAATCCAAACTCAATCCTATTAAAACCTCCCCTTTCATTATCATTCAAGCCCGGATTCAAGCTATTATTATGATCCATTCCTTCTTCTAAACTAACCGAACCTCTAGGTTCTTTTTGTGATTCCCTTAATGATACAAGTTTAGCCTCATGCTTTTCACACATAATTGTCAAATTAGAACCCTTATCATTAACATCGAAAGTACCTAAGATATTTAAGCCATTGCTTCTTCAAGCTTTTTCAACTCCACATTCGTTTTTGCCATGATTTTACCGATTTCAACTCAAAGGTATTAAGATTTGCTTTGATACCACTTGATACGAACCACTTTCCAATAAAGAACAATTGAATGTATCTACAAATTCAATAACACTTTCAAACACAATATTGTATATTCAATTATGAAAACCTTTACAATGCAAGAAATCAATGGAGTTACAATTGAAAACAATGAAAGAAAGAAGAAGAAATCGAAACAGAGAAGAAGCAGAGAAGAGAAATACGAGAGAGAAATATGCGAGTTTGCCAAAAATGTCAAATCTGCTCTTCCAATCTCTTCTCATTGATCTTAACGAGTAGCTATTTCGTTGCTTGCTCTAACTAATCGACCACGTGGACTAACCGACCAGCCTAACTAATTAATTACCAGCTAAGCTAACTACCGCCACATCGCCTAACTAATTAACAACCTTGCCTTTCACGTGACTTTTAATGAGCTCACTAGCCTTTCACTTCGACTCAATCTTCAAGTATTCTTCAAAAAACTTAGGCAATCTTCAAGTTACCTAAAAGCCGCCTGAATTGCTTCTCCACACAAACCATGCATAACAAAATGGCAAGTGCATGGTCTTCGATAAGGCCTTTTAGAGCCATTTTTAGGGCTTTTCTTCTTTTTTTTTCCCGAAAGGGAAAGAGGGTTTTTGATGTTTTTTGTGATCGATAAACCGACTGACTTCGTCCGTGACTAAGCACAACATAAACTTTTTAAAACATTACAATAACAATAAATAATGTAGAGTTTATTATTAATATTTTGTTACTAATAATATACGACAAAGAAAAAAACAATATTATATACTCTATATTTGCATCATCATTATTCTTGTTAGGTTTATATAACTACCAATGTTAAAATTTGACACGTAGCAACATGAATTTTTTGAATGATGTGCATTTTGATTACTAAAAATTTTAGAAAAAAATTTACTTTGTTCCTTTTATTTATTTTTTCTTACAAAGAAATCCTTAGTTAAAATTTTTTTGGTCATCATGCTTTATAGTAAATGCAATTTAGTTCCTAAATGGTTTTTTCAATTATATCTCTACATTTTGAATAGTAAACATGTTGAAAATTCTCATATTATCTTAGATATATGAAGTGCTTTTAATTTGATTTTAAATATTTTCTACGTATTATTTTAGATATATTATTTTTTGAATAACTAAACAATAATAATTTAATACTTATAAAATCAACATTAAAAAAAATTCTTTACAAAACTAAATATATCACTTTAAGTTTCTTACACCATACACAAGTCAATCAATTCATCCTTACACAACAATATCACAACATGCCGACTCATTTAAAAGGTTAGAAAATTAAATTTATCTCAAATAATAACTCAATCTCTAAACTTTTTCATAATTTGTGTTAACTCACTCGCTAAACTTCTTCATAATTTATGTTTGATTAGATTGATTGAATGTATGTAATTATTTTTAATTTTTTGTGGTTGATATTATTGTAATTTTGCTAAGTTGTTATTTTCTATAATATCATATATCTACCATGAGAATATTGACCAAATTTGGTATTTGACATGTATGGGCCAAATTGAATTAAAAATTTATTTAGGGACAAAATTGTATCTACAACAAAATACATTGACAAAAAAATTTCAATTAGAGACATATTTGTAAGAAAAATAAGACAAAAAGACTAAGTAAAATTTTCAGAGGCCAAAATGCCCAACAACGAAAATTTTTATGCTACTAGATTTTAGATTTTAATGCTTTAACAAAACCAACTAACAAAAAGATATAATGACAATAAAAATATAACTTACAATGATGATATTAAAAAAAAAAAAAATTCTCTATTGCAATGCACAACATGATATTAAAACAACAAATAATAAATAAATAAAAACTTTTTAAACAAAAGAATAAAAACATATAAAGGTGTACATAAACATTAACATTTTACAGTATCAAATCCTCCACAAATTAACATACTGAAGCAAACAAGTTCCCAGTGAATACCAAAAACAGTCAGATCGCCTGGCTGCTGTAACAATCCTTCATCTCAAGAGGCATTACCATACAGAATTACGAAAACATTTTACTTTGAAAAAATAAAAACAAATTGATAGAAAGAAATGACCGATCAAATTATAAAATTGTCCCTCTATATTTATTTCATAAATTAATTATTTAATTAACATCGACGATGTTTAATTTAATATTATTTTATTTCATAAAAAATTATTTTTTCTCTTCAATCCTTTCACATTATTTATTTTTTATTCTATTTCTTAAAACTAAAAAATCAAAATAAATTAAAAATAACAAAAATGATTAAATTACAAGAAAATAAATAATTTAAAAACTAAATAATTAGTTTTTTTTTAAAAAAAAGATTAATTAATTCATTTACCAAAACTAGAGGGACTAAATTATAGTTTACTATATGAATGGCATTGTTGGCCTATGCATGTAACTTAATATCCAGTTACCAGAAGAAAACATATCAGTACAAAGGTCAAAGAAACCTTCTTTACAATAACAGCAAATATCCACATATCACCAAGTTCAACATTTCATTGGCATCCAGACCGCTACAAGATTTAGACCTGTTTTTCCGGTTTCAGGAGTACAGGGAGCTTGGAATCTTAGAGCTTAAGGCTAGTCCATACCAACCCAAGGTAGCTGAGGACAATCATGGCATGCTGACCACCACCATATACTTTGGGCAACCCCCTGCAATTAAGAGCCCGCTACCCTTCAATGTCTCAATGTCAGAGCAGGTAATTCACCTATAATTTCAAGCACCAAATTAGAACCCTAAAAATAAATGCTTAATTTCTTCAGATGCATCTGCAGCGGAATGTGCAGTAGTGGCTTCCAAACTGAGAGATGATATCTACAAGACCTCCATAACCTCCAACGGCAGTCAACTGAAAAGGAAATGGGGTCAAGCGCATGAGAAGCACAGTAGGGTACGGGAAAATGAATAAATTAAAATAACAAATGCAGAAAAAAGGAACATACCCCAGATGGGTGTACAGAAACAGAGAATGCTGATTGAGGAGCAGATGGTATTTGTGAAAGAACTGCTCCATTTATGTCAAAACGAGTCATTACAGGTTCTGCTCCAACAGCTAGGATCTGAGATGGTGATACAATGATTGTTATTGTCTTGGAACAGATGATGAGAATTTAAGAGAGAATGTGAAATTTTTTTAAATATTACTGTGCAATAATATTTGAACGTGACAAATACTGCACTATCAGGCAACTGCAATGAGACACTGTTCAATACTTCAAAAGCATGGGATATCAAGGAAGATCATTGTGTAGCAATCAAAGATTATTTTATTAATGGCTGAGAAATTAAAGTAGCAATAAACAGCAAGTGCTTTTGGATGCATTGTCAAGATGTATGAAATGAACCAGGGGACTTATGCAACAGGCTTAAACATTGGTTTTGTGAACCCAGAAAACTTGTCAGTTGGAAAAAAACAAAATAAAAAGTAAATAAAAATAAATTGTTTCACAGCCATCACCTGCAACTACCTGAGATGACAGCTAAATTCTAAACGAATCACTGCCCGCACCCAAAGAAAGAGGACAAAAAACAACATTACTCGAAATGAATGGACTTGTTTTATGACAGAAGTTCTAAGCACTTTGGCAATTCACAATTGTAACTTTGGAAATAATATCTTCTGTACAAAAAGTGTTGCAGCATAATGTTCAGAACCTGATCAAACTACAAGCGTATGAATGTCAGCTATAGTCAAGAAAATAATTCACTTACTTGATTGTCATTAAACATTACATCCTGTATGGATGCACGACTACACATCCTTGAAACGCATTCAGAAGCAGTAAGATTCCAGACCGATAAACTTCGACCATTGCCACAAGCCTATGAAGCAGAAGATTTGTTCAAATGGAGTCACAACATAAGCCTCGTAACAACTGCAGCAAACTATTCCCAACACTTGAAAAGGATAATAAATAGCATGTTCACTTCGTTGGCTTATTGATCTCTGCCAAAATAAACATTACAAGCATTTGCTTCACACAGCTATAGCACTTCCACTAAAAATGCATGTTATCATGAATATTTTGGCAGTATGCAAGAAAGTAAGCAGTTTCTATGAACTTCGAAACGCATGCTTCTCATGAATACTTTTGTCAGCACACACCAAAGTCCCTTCTATGAATCTCAAAAATCAAAATAACCACAAAGTAGGCAGTCTGCAAAACAGGTAAAAGTAATGGCATCTTGACTGCATGAACTCTCTTACCAACCAGCTCTCACTTGCATCAAGAGCAATGCAGCTGACAGATGAGGAAAATCCTTTGAACTTCTCATCCTTCACTGAATCAATTACACGGATACATTTTCCACTTCTGCAATCTGAATAAAATCTCATAAAGGCATAGCACTAAGAACAATCACCAGTAGCTAGATTATAAAAAATAAAACATGTTGGAAGTAATAATAAGACCTGACTCACTTTGGATGATGGTGCCCAAACGAATAATTCCACATCATCCCCCCCCCCCCCCCCCCCCCCCAAACAAACACACACACACTAACTACAACCAAAAAGAGAAAAAAGAAAAAGAAAAGGAAAAGAACAGGGTTTTGTGACAACATGCTATCCCTGTCTTCTTGTCTTTACAATTAACACCATGATTACAATATCTGAACTACTGAGTATAGATGCATCCAACGAAAGTGACTTTCAATGAATTGATATAGTTTTAGGGATACCAAGTAATGATTAAAAAGTTGCATATAACATTGAAAGAAATAGCATTAAAGTTGACCACATATGGACATTATCATGTGTAAACTCTATGGCTGAAATCCTTGACAATCAAAGACTGGATTTTACCCCAAAGTCGTGCAGAACAATCCTCTGAACCAGTTATGATCTGAAACCAAAAAACATAAAACAAATAATAAAGGTAGGAATCAGACACTGATTCTCCAAGCCCAACATACAGCTGCCAATGTTTATTGTTCATGGCTCCTCTTCAAACAAGTTAAAAATGACATGCCAAGAAGAACCAGTAAATATGAATGGATCAAACCCATAATTTAACCCCAAAAATAGTTTTTTTGGAAGCATGGTTATTTAGCTGCCATTCATAGCGGACATGTATGATTTCTCTGTAAAATAACAATAGAGATTATAGTGGACAAAAAAGTATGGAAAAGAGTCTATTTTTACAGGTAAACCAACATTTGCATAACTTCTCTTTTTCTTATTTTCTCAAAGTGCATTAAACTACATTGTTAGAAAGTAGCTGGTGTATCGATTTTCCCACAAAAGTTTGTTTAACTCCTCCATTTCCAGGACGCAAAGAGCATGAAGATCTACATGACACCCCGAAATTCAATAATATAGTTAATGCACAATATTTGAGTACTGAACTCTTGGTACTTTCCTAGAATGACCCTAAGCTGATGCATATAAGAAATATTTGGAAAAATATGGAATTGCATTTAAATGATATCTAGACACGCACACACGCATAACAGGCTAGTAGAACATCCGATTGACAAAATTTACATGAATTCAAAAGCTACAAAATGCTGATGACAAACAAATAGAGGAGGCATGACCTGATTAGCAGAGTTACGAGCAACTATGCAATGCAAGTAGTCCAAGTGTCCCTTAAAACACATTTTGATCTTACAAGTTTCCTGAGAAGATCAACAAACAATAATTCCATCGTTAGTGCCAATTTGAGAACAAATCAAAAACATATGAAGTTATCTAGAATGGAATGAAATTCACAAACATTTCAAAAAAGGAAGCTAATTACATGAGGGTTTATTCACCTTGAACAAATACATACCACATCCCAACAATATGCACAAGAATCACCAGCAGCAGAGAAAATGGAACCTCCCTGTAGTAGAAGAAAATGTTACTCTACAAACATAAGCAAATAATTACTTACCAATAAACGAAAGAAAGCTGACCACAATTGGAGGAGGGGGATAGTTTATATGGAGAAGAAACATCTCAAACCTGGGTATCCACCGCGATGGCATTGTTTTCTGGAACTGGGGACAGAGAACCCCAAGGACCCCTGATATATAGGAGGTAGACAAGATATGCAGTATAAGAAAGTACTTGGGGGCTAGGGCAAACAAATATATTCTCCACATAATAGATGAAGGTTCACAATTTTATGACAAACATAGCAAAGGAGTGAGTCTCAGTTTCATATGGGTGCCATGCCAGGCAACAGGTCAATTCAACAAATTCATGCAAGTGCTCTTAAGAAAATTTTATTTCTTAAATTATGGTTTTATTATGAAACCTAAACCTTATTATTTAACTTCCACTTCTATTTTCTTATAGTTTTAACCATTATATTACTGTCCTTTGTTGTTTGCTGTTGTTTTCTCTTCTCATGGTATGTCAAGAAAGCATTTATAATCTCAACAAATGATGCTAATGATGAGGGGACAAACCGTTCAACTTCCTCCTTGTCAAAAAAAAAAAAAAAAAAAAAAAAAAACTATGCAAAGATGCACAATAGCATATGTCATGAGTTAGGTGATCACTCACTTGTGCTGAGGATTCACCAGGTCAAGTATCGGCTTTATGTGATTTCCTGAAAGACAACATTGAACATGAACAAAAGAAATGAACATGATTTTATCACATAAATCAGAAATGTAATTAAAAAAAAAAAACTCTGCAAATCAAGGAATGGAGCTACTAAAACAAGAAATGATATATTAAAACTGGCTTTGCCATGCTCTTGATGCTTTTCAAATTTGATTTTTCATTATCAATTACCTTGCAAAGCAACAGGCACCTGAGATTGCATAAATTCCTCCCACCTCCATCCTCGAATTCGACCATCATCACCACAACTAGAACAAAAATCCCAAACCCATTGAATATCAGACCATTTAGATAGCAAATCAACGAAATCACTATTAAATTAAAATATTAGGAAAAAAAAATGAACCTCAGTAACAAAGCATCTTCTTCGGCATTGCCATAGAATTTGACATCATAGGCAGGTCCATCATGTCCTTTAAGGAACGCATTAGGTTCAACCCTAACAAAAATGAATGAGCATAAACTATAAAAAGAATAATAACAATAACTAATGATCAAGCAAACTCACTGCCCACTGTACTTACTGTGGTGCCCTCAAATTGCTAAAACCCAATGGCTGTAAAAGGGGAAAAAAAAATTCAAAATCAATTCAATTGCACCACAATTGGCAAGTTTTTTGAGTGATTAAAGAAAGGGAAACGTACAAGTTTGGAGATGGAGTAAGAGGAGAGGGAGCCGTCACTTGATGCAAGGATGATAGTGTCAGGATTAGGGTTTGAAGATGGTGGCCAAGCGGTTCTAAAGACAGTTAGGGTTTGGATTTCTAGATCTTTTAGAATGCTCTCTCTGTATGCATCCTCATTCCAGTTTGTTGCATCTCCGCACATTTTCCACCCTACAAAGTTGAGTCGACTCAAAACTCAAACCAGATATTTTCTGAAACTATGCCTGGGCTCTGTGTAAAATCAATCTATTACTTTGCAAAAACCTATAATAGAAGAAAAGGCTATTATATACATAAAAAGTGATATTATAAACATCAAAATAGACAAAATCAAACCTACTCTCAAGCCCAAATTACATACTCAAAGAACATACGAAATTTCATAATTATAATTACACGAACAATAATCATGGATACGTATCTTTAATTTGAATTCCATAAACCTAATGTCACTCAATACTCAATACACATGAACATTAAGATTTCACATTGTAGCAAACCCTAGCTAATCTGCACTGCTAATTGCTATTAAACGACATAACAAAAGCGTACCTCTGCAAATAAGTGAAAATCTTCTCAAACCCTAACTAATCTTTTCACTCTTTCCAAACCCTAACTAATTTGAGCATGCATAGAACAATTACAACTATAGCCCAAGAGTAGGAAACATAAAATAAAGCAATCAAAAAATGTTTTTTGAAAAAAATAAGAACCGATACCATCAGAGTGAAATGATTCTAAAAAGGAAAACTTTCTGCATTAACTGAGTTCCTCAACTAAAATACAAGTAAAAGATGAAGCAAACAGACCAACCAAAACATAAGGCTAAGCAGTAGAGATAGTATCAAGTTGGTGATGACCCAAAAAAAAAAAAACACAACTAGATAAACCAACCATTGACAAAACAAAATTAGAACAAAAGATCCAAAACCCCATTACTTCCCTACTTAGTCATAAACCCCAAGTCAAAAAAAGGGGCAAAAAAAAAAAAAACTAGGAGATATTAAACCTGATCAAAGTTTACTGACCTCGAGTGAGAAAAAGCTGCTGCTTGATGGTGAAAAGTAGCCAAATCCAAAGAGCTATTCAGATTTAGAATAAAACTTGCAACAGAGGGAGATGAAATTGAGGAGAGAGAACTTGAACTTACCACTAATCTTGGTGAAGATTAAATTGACTTAAATACCCTTTAAGTAGTTAAAAGAAAATAATAATAATAATAATAATAATATAGAAATGTCCTAAGGGATCGAATGTTACGCCTTTTTGCCTTTTCCTCTTTAAGTACTCGCAGTGTTCTTGTCACTGCTGTTTCACTGTCTGCTTCACTTTCATCTCCAATCACCGTACGATCAATGTATTCTTCTTCTTCATCAACGGCCACGATGAAATCTCCACCAGTGGCAAAGAAGGTGGAACACAAGTTGGAGATGTTTGGTGATGTTAGAGTGGACAATTATTATTGGCTTCGTGATGATTCACGTACCAATCCTGAGGTTATTTCTTATCTTCAACAAGAGAATGCCTATACGGATTTTTTTATGTCTGGTTAGTGACTCAGTGTTGTTCATTATGGATTTATTGGTTTTTTGTTTCTGTTTGTTTCTTGAGAAAAAAGTCTGCAACTTTTTGATGTATTACGAGAAAAAAAACATGGGTTATTGTACTTAGTTGTGAGATTAATCATGTTTTAATTGGTGGGTCGTTCGTTTTTGTTGTTTTGACCATAAATAATTAAAAGTTTGTTTCTTGGCTTTGTTTGCGAAGCTGAGGAATAGAGATTTGTAATTCACTTGCTAAAGATTTTTCTCATGAGATTTTAGGGTGTTTGTAGAATTTAGCTGAAGTTGGATTTGATCCACATTGATAAAGCAAATGGGCATTGAAAAACAAAGGAGTTAAAGTGTGTGTGGGTGTTGAATCTTTTTTTTTCCCTTCAAAAAAAATTGTTATGTAGTAAATTGATTGATGTGAAGATCTGAACTTTATGAAATTTAACAGCTGAATTTGGTTTATAGGGATCGATAAAGAATCAACTTTTACGTAATGATCATGAAAGCTGAATTTCTTTTTTCTTCAAATTGAGAAAGCACTTTGTGTAGAAAAAAAGAATTAATGGAGTGTATAATGTGTTTAAGGAACCAAACAATTTGAGGATCAGCTATTCAAAGAAATAAGAGGGAGAATCAAGGAGGATGATATATCAGCCCCACATAGAAAAGGACCTTACTATTACTATACAAGGAATTTGGAGGGAAAGGAGTATGTTCAGTATTGTCGCCGATTTATACCCGATCACGATGCCACACCAAGTTCTGTCCATGATACAATGCCAACTGGACCTGATGATCCTCCAGAGCATGTTATTCTTGATGAGAATGTTAAAGCTCAAGAGCACGGATTTTACAGCATTCATGCTTTTAATGTAAAAACTCTAGCTGCTGCTTCTAGATTATTTTTTTCTTGAATTTGAGTTCTCTTGCATTTTTTTTCCTTTGTTGATTTCTGCTTAATGCCCTTTCCTTTCATCCGTTTCTCCAGGTTAGTCCAAATAATAAGTTGGTTGCGTATGCTGAAGACACAAAGGGTGACGAAATTTACACTGTTCATGTCATTGATGCGGAGACTGGAGCTCCTGTAGGGAAGCCTCTGACAAGAGTAACATCTTATGTTGAGTGGGCCAACGATGACATTTTGGTTTATATAACAATGGATGAGATCCTTCGGCCTGATAAGGTACTTGTATTCTGTTTCTTTTTTATGCAGAGGAAGAATAACTTTCCTTTTACCTCTCACATGTACTTAGTCCGTGCTTCACCCAGTTTCTCATACTTTTGATTGTCTAGCCAGCAAATTTTAGCTCAGCAGTTCACTATGCCTAGAAAATAGAAGAGCAATTGGTTAAAAGCTTATCATTATCATGTTCTTTTAACTTTGTCAAAACTAATCCCTCTTAGAGCAGAGAATGGACACGCATAACAACTTATCTGTCCTATTCATTATACAAGTCCCCTTCCCATGTGAAGGAAACCAATTATTTCTTCAGCTGTACATGAATCCTTGAGAGATGGAGTATTGTTATGTGTTATATCTTGTTAGCTATGGTTTTGCTTCTTGAGCTTGTGGTTCTTTAATTGCACTGTATCTCCTTCTCTAAGAGTGTTCTGTGCAATATCCTGCCCCATTTTGGTGTCCAATTATAATTCTTTATGTCTAATTTTTAGTTTCTTATATGATCAAGTTGCATTCCCTGACTCAGCATTTTAAAGTATAGGCTAATTCATAATGTGAAACCAGTATGTGGCTCTACACAACTTATTATTGCAACTACCCTGGAAATCATCTGCTTAGGTCCAGCTTCCTTGGCAAATAAATTGCTCATCAAAACGAGCTTTCCCTTTCTTAATAGAAACTCCATCAACTTTATCTTCTTTATTAGATTAATCTAGTGACGGCTTGAATTGATTTCTTATGATAGGTGTGGTTACATAAGCTGGGAACAGACCAATCAAGTGATATTTGCCTTTATCATGAGAAGGATGATACATTTTCAATTGATCTTCAAAAATCAGAGTCTCAAAAATTTTTGTTTGTTGGATCTGAAAGCAAAATTACAAGGTTTATCTTTTATATTGATGTTTCCAAACCCGAGGACGGTCTTATGGTTTTGACTCCTCGTGTGGTTGGGATTGATACGTGGGCCAGCCATCGTGGAAATCATTTTTTTATTACAAGGAGAAGTGAAGAGTTTTTCAATTCAGAATTACTAGCCTGCCCAGTGGATGATGTGTCTGTAACAACAGTTCTTATTCCTCATAGAGAAAGGTAATATTTACCTTCTTAGAAATGGGATTCTCTTTTTTGTTTGGATTGAGGTGGAACCTTGTCTTGATCTCTTTTTTTCTCAGGTCAAGTTGAGTTTATGGTCAGAAACCAAATATATATGCTCTGATGGAAAATACAAAAATGCTCCAAATTGCAATCATTCATTTTTGTATATTCACGACTGTTTATGCAATGTGGTTCTCGCAAAAATTGCTTTTAATTTTAAAATTTAAATATAAAAAAAATATTGTCTGTTGTTGCTGACTCTTATTGTTCTTGTCCATTTTGGATTTTAACCAGCATAAAAATTCAGGATACCCATCTTTTTGCCAACTACCTTGCTGTATATGAGCGTGAAAATGGTTTGCCCAAGGTAACAGTTTATCGCCTACCAGCTGTTGATGAGCCACTTACAAGCCTTGAAGATGGTCGGACAATTGACTTTATCGACCCTGTATATACAGTGGAACCAGCACCATCACAATTTAATTCTAGCATTTTGAGATTTTCTTATAGCTCTTTGAGGACGCCTGACTCTGTGTATGACTATGATATGAACACAGGCACTTCTGCTGTTAAGAAAATTGAGACGGTAAGATGCGAACGATTTCTTTTCAAATATTACTATTTATTGATTTAGGTATTACATGTGTAGGAATGTAGCTTATTCAGTCTCTCGCAGGAGGCATTTTGTTTCCTTTACAAAGAAAAATTACTTTTGTGTCTGAATGTTGTTTTCTTCTTATATGTTGCAAAATCAATGAGTCTTCTCCGTGTTATACTTGGAGTTTTTTTATTATCATGCACTGTCTACCTGCATGGTAAAATGTAGAAGCTTTTTATTGTTTTCCTAAACTTTCCACTTGGGAACTGCAGCAAAGTAGCAATTCTGCATCCTTCAGTGATTTTCTTTTTCAGATTCGTCATTTTTTAGGATATCGTTCTTATCTTCTTCTTATTGTTTTAGGATTGATCTCTCTCACGCACATGCACCCACACATTTTCTTTTGCAACATTATCAACTGTTAAATGACTTTTGGGTCCTTAAAATAGTTTTTCTTGATATAATGTTATCCTTTCTGGCTCAAATCCCACAACACATGCTGCAAGTTAATGCTTTCAATAAAACTAGTACAACTGCATCTAAGTAAATTGCGCAAAATTGTCAATGGTGTGTTTGTAAATATGTTGTATTCATGAACCAAATTCTTTTCTGGCAAACAGAGTGAAAAGAGTGAATTCATATAAGTTAAGATGCACCTACTTTTATTCTTCATATATTTAGTTTAGGTTAATCATTAGCATTCAAGTGGTTTATGATAATCATGTGTCATTTTTTCATTGTTATAATCAGGTCTTGGGAGGCTTTGATGCATCCGAGTATGTTACTGAAAGGAAATGGGCCACTGCTTCTGATGGCACTCAGGTCCCTATATCAATTGTCTATAGGAAGAATCTTGTGAAGCTTGACGGATCTGATCCATTTCTGCTTTATGGTTATGGTTCATATGAGGTAATATGAGAGTTGAATGAGCTATTGCCACTTACCCAAAGAGTTGTTCCTTTGTTATTTATTTGTCACGTATATGGTTGCTTTTTATGTAATTTTTTTTTTCGAATTGCACTTATGTAATATATTTGAAGTGAATCTTTTTGAAGATTAAGATTTTTTTAGTGGACATTATGGTGAGTTGTGACATCATATTAACACATCCTTGTGTCATTTAGTGTGGGAAATTTTTAATTCAAGATAGAATCAAGTATGATGTCTGTGTTCATCTATAGTTTTTCTTCCATTATGATTTAGGTATGATTGTGCAAGTCATGAAAATTTTTATTCTCTTATTTTTCAATATCTTTTTGAAAGTTGACTATGCCACTGACAGTCATAGTTTATTTAATCACTTCAGTCTCACAGGATGTCCTTCATGAAAAGCGTCCATGCAGATGCTAAGTAGTCCCTGGCTTTTGTACATTCTAATTTGCTTGTTGCTTATTTAATCATAGGTGAAGAACTAGACAAACATTTCCTTTTATTTTGTTCATCCAGAAAAGATTGTGACCTAGTTATGATTCTTCCAAGATGACGTCCTGACCTTAAAAGATGTGGAGACAGTCTTACTCTTTAGAGTTTTTGCAAGGAAGCAGCTGCACTTAAACTCTAATATGTTCTTTACTTTTCAAATATGTCAGTCACCAGTGGCATGGAATTTTCAAGTTTGCATGCATGTCAACTAGGATGCAGTGTCTTTTACATCATGGAGTCCAAACTTTAATTTTTTTCTCATTTCCTCTTGTATTTTAAATTTCCATTTGAAATGCCTGATTGATGGAATTTTTTGTTGTGTGTAGGTATGCATAGATCCCTGGTTCAAGGCATCAAGGTTATCTTTACTAGATCGTGGTTTTATATTTGCCATTGCTCACATTCGTGGAGGTGGTGAAATGGGAAGGCAGTGGTACGAGAATGGGAAGTACTTGCAGAAAAAGAATACTTTCACAGATTTTATTGCTTGTGCGGAGTATTTAATAGAACAGAGGTACTGTTCGAAGGAAAAACTGTGCATCGAAGGAAGGAGTGCTGGGGGGTTGCTCATGGGCTCTGTTCTTAACATGAGACCTGATTTGTTTAAGGTTGCTTTTGCTGGAGTACCTTTTGTAGATGCTCTGACTACAATGCTTGATCCAACTATCCCTCTTACAACTTCAGAGTGGGAGGTCAGCTTTGTTTCCCTTGTAATGATATCAAATTTGAGCTATATCTACCTTTAAATTTGACTTTCAGTGGGATACATTTATGTTGATTATGAATTTGTGCTCATTTGATGAGTCAGTGCTTCCATCATACTTTCCATTACATTTGATGTGCATAAAGTGATTGTATATGGATAGTGGATTTGTATTCCAGTGCCCAGTAGTAATTATGCTCTCTCTCTTTTCTTTCCCTATGATTTTGGGTGGGCAATCCATATATATATGTCAATAAACATGAGTTCTGTGGACATCCAATTTGATCACCTCAGAACCTAATGGATTGCAATAGAAATAGCAGGCTCCAATATATAGATTACATCTATGTATGATGACTGGATGTCTTGGAATTTGAGGTCCTGTATTTCGTAGAAGTTCAAAATTATTCTTTGGAGTTGAGATCCTCATGTTTTTTATATATTTGAGAATGTTATGGGTTTGCCTGCTGCAACTATAATATGTTTTGGTGGCTTGGTGCTGCTAACTTAACACTTTTTTGGTTACTGTAGGAATGGGGAGACCCTCGGAAGGAGGAGTTCTACCACTATATGAAGTCATATTCTCCTGTGGACAATGTAAGTATTCAGTTCATCTACGAATTGGTTCCTCATGTTCATGATCAGTAGCACAATAAGCATGAAATCAGAATAGCCCTCATTTAGTTACTGTCACCACTTTATAACATATGGCATAATTTTAGACTATTCTCGTATTATTTATCTATTTATTCTGTGACAAAGACCTTTGTTTTTTCTGCACGGGTCAAGGCTCAAAATTTTCCTCATATTCTTGCTACCCTCATTTAGTCACCGTCGCCACTTTATAACATATAGCATAATTTTAGACTAGTCTCGTATTCTTTATCTATTTATTCAGTGACCAAGACCCTTATTTTTCCTGCACAGGTCAAGGCTCAAAATTATCCTCATATTCTTGTTACAGCCGGCTTACATGGTGAGTGTTTTCTTATAGTTAGTTAAGATCTTCCATTACAAGTTCTTAATGCCTTTGAAGTTTTCTAGCATCAGTGGGTGGATGAGCGGGGAGATAGTATTCATTGCTCATCTATACTGACCTTAACTGTCTGCTGAAGTTGCTTCAGAGTCCACTATACAACCCATATGAAACATCTTAATAAATGAATTTTTTGCTTAAAATTTTTTGGTGGTTAGAGGGAAGTGATTGGACTGAAATCCCCTTGTACAATATTTAGTACCACTTTTAATAAAAAGAAAAGGCCGTATTTACTGCCAGTATTTTATTAGGTGGTCCATCAGGCTCTTGTTTACATCTTCATCAGCAAGGCATCAGGCCTCATTGAGTGCATGGACTTGAAATGAAAACGTGGGTACTGATTACTGACTTGTAGATTTGTAGCATGTTAAACTTTTTTCTTCAAAACTCGCTCTTATCGCTAAAGAGGTGATGTAGAAGAGGGTAATAACAAATATAGAAGAAGCAGAATCCCTTATAGGAGAGCGATTAAATAAAAGAAAGACAAAAAGATAAAGCAGATAAGAAAGAAGCCCCTATAGGAGAGGGATAAATAGAGAAGATGTAGAGAAAAGAATGATTTGTAGCAAAGTCAAATAGTTTTCAATTCAATTATCAATAAGTCTGCATAACACATAGAAAAGGTCCTCTTAAATTGGCCTCAAACTAGTAATCTATTTTTTAAAGAAGGAAAGTAAATAATAGTGATTAAGATAGAAGAATTCTAACTGACTCGAACAACTAAAATGAAACAAGATATTGAAGCTTATTTTCATATAGTTGGTTCCCCATCTAGAGGGGTATCGTGCTACAAAATTTTGAACTTTTCTTAAGACCATGCACTATAACTCATTTGCTAATTTACGAGCATGATCAGTCTTCCAGGGATAGACATCTGATATTAAACAGCATTGTGATGTTCTAAAGTCTCTTTAGATGTTCAAAATATTGTGTCGCCCGTGTCATTAACAACGTATCCAGCCTAGCAATCATGTTGATTTTTTTTTTTTTTATATATATGCTGGTTGATATATGAATAGTGCTCGCCCAATAGATGGAGAGATCCTATATTGTCAACATCTAATGTTTGCAATTCTTCTCTTACCATTTAGTTCTAAATTTTGGCATGTTGCAACAGATCCTCGCGTTATGTACTCGGAACCTGCCAAGTTTGTGGCAAAGCTAAGGGAGATGAAAACTGACGATAATATGCTATTGATGAAATGTGAATTTGGTGCTGGACATTCATCGAAGTCGGGAAGGTAATGTTTTCTACTCTGTTTAAAGATCTTCTATTCTCGTTTCATGATTTAAAACTGTGAAGAGGAAACTTGAGTTAGATAATTGGGAAGTTGATTGAGGATGAGGTTAGAACACCTGAGTTATGCTGATAAACCATAAACACAAGATTTCTTTTGGTTTTTCCTTTCTTTTAAAATAAAGGTGGAACTTTTTAACTAATCTATTTAAGATGTTATGTCTTGTTTGGTGCAGATTTGAGAAGCTTCAAGAACAAGCATTCATATATACTTTCATTTTGAAAGCACTAAATATGATTCCTGACCTTAGCTCTAGCCTCTAAGCCAGAACTAATGAGCTACACCTAGAAGCTGAAATTCAGCACCATCCAAGGAAATATTGGAGCCAACACTCCCAGGATCAATGTTTGTTGTTTTTCTTTGTTCGTTTTTTTGACAGTGACTGGCATTTTTATCATCATTGGAGATTTACCATTGAAAATCAACCGCAATGATTCTTGTCGTGTAATACAATTGAACAATTTTAGGGCGATTTTCAACTCATCTTAAATGCTAGTATTGCCGTTCAGAATTATACCAAAATCTGCATCTGCAACTACACATACAACTGAAAGTTCTTGAACTCGTATTGTGTGCCTGGATTTGGCACTAGACAGAAAAAGCTAATACTGGATACGGAATCCAACACCATGTGATGAAACAAGTGGTAAAGGGACAAAACTTCCCTTCTTTATGCACCTGCCCCACATTTGTCATGTCATATTCCCTAGTTTTCTACCTTTTTACAAGCCTCAAAACAAAAAATACATTATTTAACCTATTGTGGGCACTTAAGGGTCGTAACCCATCTTTATCCCAAAAGAAAAGAAAACGATGCGATACTTATCCCTTTCCGAGAAATTTTATAATACAGTTTAAATCGAAAAAACAAACCGGATTGAAAAATTAATTTTAGCTCTATTTTAGCACAAAAAATTGAAAAATAAATGAGCTTATTTTTAGAAAATACTTGAATTTGGATGATTCAGTTTATAATATATTTAAACAATCAATGATTTTTTTATTATTATTTATTTTAGATATGAATTATTGAATTTTAACTATTTTAGCCTTATTTTAAATAAATATTTATTATATGTCCTGTAGGTTAGTTTAGACTATTTAGGTTAGAGAAAGGATTTAATTTCATTATTCATAACATAATTTTTTTGACGTATTTTACATTATTTTACAAAAATTAAAACATTTTGAAATTTTGATTTTTACCGAAAGATCTAAAATAAAAAACCAAAATTTCGATTTTAAAACAGAAAACTAAATAAAAATTGGGTTTGATTTATTTTTTAGTTTTTGGCTTTTTGGATTTGATTAATAAAAAAACCAAACCATCATCCCTACCAATAATACCTTAAAAAGAAGCAATGGCTTTCACGTCTCCACCACTTCCCACCCCATATCTTGTTTGTTAGCAAAATCCTCTTCTCCATCACAATTCACGCCCCTTCAGCTCCCACAAAATCTAAACCATGCCATCATCCTTCACTGCCTCACCATGTCAAGACTCTCAAGAAACCAACTACCTGCAAACCCTTTTAGCCTCTGCTCGTCCCTTCCTTAGAGGGGAGCTAGAATCCGTTGACAAGAACTTGCCTTCCCTAGTTTCTGTGTTACGTTCTGTTGGTGCTGGTGAATGCTGGCACAAACATGGCAGCTTTCTTGATCACCTAGTTGACATGTACCGCATCCTCAAGATATGGAAAGCACCTGACTCGGTCTGTCTTTGTGGGCTTTTCCACTCTGCTTATTCCAATTCTTATGTCAATCTTGCTATCTTTGATCCTAACACCGGTCGAGACGTTGTCCGTGGCCATGTTGGTGAGGCTGCAGAAAGGCTGATTCACTTGTTTTGTATTGTCCCTCGCCAACCATTGATCCATGATGATCTCTTGTTCAAGTATTCTGATATAGAACTCGTTGAACACCTTAAAGCTTCTGAGTTGTCATTGAGGAGTGCAAAAGAGAAGGGTTTGTTCAATGGAGAGGAGTCTTGGAGGAAGAAATTAACTTCTCTTTTGCCTGCCAGGGGGTTACAGTGAAGCATATAAAGAGTGGAGAGGACGTTTTGGTGACAAGAAGAATAGTGGCTGTTTTTCTCTTGATGACCATGGCTGATTTTAGTGATCAGCTTTTCGGTTTTCAAGATTTGTTGTTTGAAAACTTTGATGGGCGTCTTGAGTTTTCAGGGAACAATTTCGGTGCTTTGTGGCCTGGAGATGGCAAGCCAGGGCTATGGATCAATTCAATATCAAGGATGGGGGCAATTTACTCTTTGATTGTGAGAGAGGAAGAGATTTTTATTGAAGAGAGGAAAAGGGCTGGCGGTGTTGAAGTTGAGAAAGCAAGAGACGAGGATATAGACCTTGTGTTGGCACCAGTTTTCGAGAACTGTACTAGAGTTTTGGATGCAAGAGAGCAGATAGTGGCAAGAGACTTGTATTGGGAAGCTGTTTATGATACCTCTAAGAGAGGGTTGGACAGAGCTGAGGAGTTGTTGTTGAGTAGCATTGAGAAGAACCCTTTCGTCGGTGAGCCTCATGTCGTGTTGGGTCAGTTTTATTTGACAAAAGGGAGGTTCGAGGAGGCTGAGAGAGAAGCTGAGAAAGGGGTGACACTGTTGTTAGAGTGGGGGAGTCCTTGGGATAAGAGAATGTCTTGGGAAGGATGGATTGCTTGGGCTAGAGTCTTGCTGATGAAAGCTAAAGAGAAGTCATGGCCAGAGACATCTTGGGGAATCCTTAATTTAGGACTAGTGAAGTAACTGGCTTTGTCCATGAGATGTCTAAATTTGGTGCAGGCACAGAATAAAATGTACTACTACCTACTTGCCTAGGTAGGATGCAGAGTCAAAGGCTCAACATTGATGATTTCTAGCTTTGCTACAGTGGCAGAAATAACATAATATTAGTACTTTGATTTGTAAAGATCCATTTACTTCTCCTGTTTTTCTGTTTAATTAAGTGTTGGATTGGGAACCATTCGATTATGTGCTACTCGTTCATTCGGTTTTGGTTTTGAAAAATTTTATTTGGTTTTTAGTTAGTGGAACTCACAAAAATTAAAACCGAACGCTATCCGAGTTGAAGCACTATCCCATTGTTTTATTTTTATTTCTCGTTATTTTATCAAAGATTTTTTTTTTTTTTTTTTGTGTACAGGTAACTCAAAAACTAAGATCATTTGACTAGATTCTTTTCCACTCAATTCAACTCTCTTAGATATTATTTAGTTGTTTTTAGTTTTTAAAATTGAAAATTTTTGATTTCTTATTTGGTTTTTCATTACTTTTTTAATATAAAAATGATATTATGATTTTTGGTTATTGAACACTGTTTTATAATAAATCAGAAATTATATATATTCATTCATTTTATTTCGAAAAAGATAAAAAATATATATATCATTCCAAAGTTCTAATCAATTACAAAATAGCATCAAACATCCAAGTTAAATAATATAATCCATAAATTATTAATAGAATTTATTTAGCAATAAAAAAGGAAATAAAAACTAATAGGGTATATATATGTGTGTGTGGAACCCGAATAAAAAATTTTAAAAATAAAATTGAAACTGAAAAATTAAATTAAATTCGGTTTCATTTTAATAAAGTTAATTGAAAAAACAAACGAAATAAAAATTTTAATTCAATAATTTTCGATTGAATTTGGTTTTTCGATTTAAATGGAATAATGGTCACTAATACCTACACTTGGTATGGCTACATCATAATTATAGCAGGAGACTTCAAGATGGGCAAAGACAACAGGGGCTTTATGTAGCTAACCAGGAGTCATCTTTCTTACAAGACCCATCCCTGGGAGACTCTGACTCTCCTGTCCTCAACATTGATATAGGAAATGGGCCAAACCGTTTGCCAAGAAATTGCAGCACGTCATGATAGTCTTTTTTTGCCTATGGCGGGCAAAGCAAGACCCATCAGTAACAAGACCAAGGCCGTCTTCTCGACATGGTTAAATTACTTGCTGCCTCCTCATCTCAGTCACTCAGTTCAGAATACCCCTGTTGTTTTTCATGTCCCTTTGCATTGTGTAGATCAATTTTTAGTGTCTCGATTGCATCTCGGTTTGATCCGAAGATAGGTAATCGTTTAGGAGTAGAATTGTTGTTACTCGTCGAATTTCATCTTAAAGCAGATTATATCGACGATTTAATTAGTGATTAAGTCTTTTGCGATGAAATATTATGAGATTCGATTTCACCTTGCAAGTCACTAGAACTTTCTGTGAGCACTTAATTTAAAGAAAGAGTAAAAAAGCAAAAAGAATTTTATCAATTGAAAAAAACAAAATTCATTAAAAATAATGTAAATCTCAAAATCAAAAAACACAACACTTACATCATTAGCTATTAAGATGTTTTATATCATTCGACATATCAACGCTTCCTTAAGTTACAAAAATAAGATTACCGAAAGCGATAAAAGACTATTGTATTACTTGTAAGAAAGTAGGAACTAATTATTATAGGATAAACTAAGGAATTTGAATAAACTTATAGAAGAAGTCTTGTATGATTGATTGTGTACGATTCCGCTAGTCCTCCTTCCTTAAATAACTCTTGATTGAAAATTGTCTTTTATTTAAATTTAAACATGAACGAGTTATCCGGTAACTATCCTTTTGTTTTCTCTGTGCATATTGTCTTTGTCAAACTAGCGGATTGCAAGATCAAATGCATCGTTTTATTTAAATCTTATGATTTTATTGAAACTTGGCTGATTATGTTACCAAACACACTCGTTTCATTTAGGACTTAAGGCTCTATCGAAACCCGCTTGGTGACATGACCAAACGCACCATTTCATTAAAGACTTCAAGCTCGTCGAAACTTGCTTAGTGACAGGACCAAACGCATTGTTTCATTAAAGTTTTAAGGGTTTGTCGAAACTTGATTGGTTATAAGACTAAACGCATCATTTCATTAAAAATTTAAGGCTCCGTCGAAACCTAATTGATTTATAAGATCAAACGCATCATTCCACTTATGCTTTGCTATTTTGACATAAGAAGACATCATACTTGATCGACGTGTGACCTTGAATTTTGAAGTGCCAACAAGAGCTAAAATAAAATCAATTTTCAATGATCAAATCCTAATTCAAATGCTAGCTAGCCTTATTTCCCAAGGAAGGGGAAAAATAAAGGAAGGCAATTTTTAAGCACTGGACATGATATATGATGTAACTCTATAATTGGAAATGGACCTCCCTGGAAGGAAGAAACAGGTAGGTGCACTGATTGATTTTAGCCTTGTCTCCAACCCCAACCCCATGCCGTGATGAAGGTTGATCGGCAACAAGAGCTATCAACTTCATTGTTGATTGAAGGATGTTCATGTGATCTCTCATCAAACTAATCATGGTCCCATGTTATAGTGACTCGTATGGAACCAATTCAGAGTCATCATTCTTGTTGAGATCTTAAGCCTTAGCTAGGGAAAGTCACCATTCTTGTTGAGATATGAAACCTTAGCTAGGATATCCTTTCAAGACGAAGAGGTCTAGTTGTTGGAAAAAATTGCTTTGTTTTATTGACATTTTAAATTTGGATCTTATAACCGAGTTATTAGCATGTTTCGATTCATATATAAGTCGATCTGAATACACTTTTATTATCATTCAAAAAAAAAATTAATCTCAATTTACATATAAAATATTTTGGATCGTTAAAAAAAGAAGGCTAAACGAGTTCAATTCTTTCATTAACATCGATTTCTTAATTTTTAATTTCAAATTAGATCTATATTCAACTATTTTTCATTTGAAATTGAATTATTTGTTAAATTTCATCAATTATAATATGTAAATGCAATTGTTAAAAAATGCCTAAAGTTACATAAAATTTTGTTTTTTCTTCGAAACTTACTTTTTTCCTTTCAAAATGCTTATTAAAGATCGTTTAGAAGAAAAAAAATTAAAAAGAAAAAGAAAAGCTGCATCACTTTTGATATATTTTTAACTATTGAAAAAATTTAAAAAGTCAATAAAATACAAATCGCATGTGTTTTCATCATTAGAATTTATAGAAACATAAAAGAAAAACTCAATTTTAAATAAAAAATAATTAAAAAAGTCAAACTCGAAATTAGAAATTAACAAATAGATTTTCAAAAGATTTAAAATTTAAGAGAGGTTTTTACGATTTTATCTTTAAAAAATATATAAAAGAAGATATCCTATCAAGGTTATGTTTGATGTCTCTAAGGAGATAATCGAAGGATAACATTTATCCAATAAGATCTAATTCCGTCAACAATTTGGCATGATTTGGACACTGTTTTTGATATTGCAAGAGGAAGAAAAGGTATGTAACAGTAACATGGACTTTTTGCAACAAATCTCTGCTACTGCTCTTTAGGGTTCAACTTACCGTACAAAATCAATTTCTAAAAACCAATTTATTGATGAATCTAATAGACATATAAACTCTAACTAAATGAACAGAAATGAGATCTTAAATCACCAATGCAACCCGTTTTGAGGAGAAATTGGAGTAAATTATAACTTAAGTCCCTCAAACACTAATTATTTAGTCATTATATTTTTAAATTTTCTTATTTCTTAATCTTTTTTATTTTGCCTTGATTTTTTGTTTTAGTAAATACAAAAAAAATATGAAAAGATTGGTAAGAAAAAAGACATTTTTCGAAATAAAATAATATTAAATTAAATATAGTCAATATGTATCAAGAGACTAAATAATTAATTTTTAAAACAAAAGAGACTAATTAATTGGTTTCTCAAAACTAAAAAAACTAATTTATAATTTACTTGGTGAAATTGAGATGAAATATAGTCAATATCTGTATGCATTAATTAGTGTCATTTTTGCTAATTAAAAACACTTGTTATTTATTCATGACACTATTAAGGATCACGGGCAAACATCAAAACGAAAAGGAATTCTAAACATGTCAACGATTAGGTGAAATTAGTGAAGTAAACTGGGTTTGTCACTTGATGTGTAAATTTGGAGCAGGCACAGAATAAAATGTATTAGTACCTACTTGCCTAGGTAGAATGCAGAGTCAAAGGCACCACATTGATGATTTCCAGCTTTGCTTCATTGGCAGAAATAACATAATATTAGCACTTTGATTTGTAAAGATCCATTTACTTCTCCTGTTTTTCTGTTTAATTAAATGTTGGATTGGGAACCATTCGGTTATTTGGTATTCGGTTCATTCGGTTTTGGTTTTGAAAAAATTTATTTGGTTTTTAGTTAGTAGAACTCACAAAAATTAAAATCGATTGTTACTTGAGCTGAAGTATTATTCGATTCTTTTCTTCTTTTTTTCTTTTTATACTAAAAATATTTTAAATTTAAAAATTTAGATTAATTTCTTTTTATTTTATCACATTTAAGATATGTATTGTTATCTAAAAAGTTTTTTACATATATAATGATTTGAGAATCCAAAATCACTTGCCTAAGCGATTAGAATTCTTTTAATTTAAGTCAACTCTTCTTGTATTATTCGATTATTTTTATTACTTTTTTAATATAAAACTGATATTATGATTTTTTGATATTGAACACTGTTTTATAATAAATCAGATATTCTATTTACACATTCATTTTATTTTGAAAGAAATAAAATATATATATATATAATTATCATTCCAAAGTTCTAATAATTACAAAATAGCATCAAACATCTAACTTAAATAAGATAGTCTATAAATTATTAATAGAATTTATTTAGCAATTAAAAAAAGGAAATAAAAACTAATAGGGT